ACTGGATGAGAGTAGGGGATGTCAATGAGTCGAATAAATAGAAACATTCACCTTGTAAATGGCATGGTGAAGAGTCTCTGGTCGCTAGCAATCATAGCAAAGAGCTATAACGTTGGCGTTTGCCAATCTTCGCTGAGTAAAGGGTGTAATAGGGTATCTTGACGGTAAACTGTATTGCTGATCAAGTTAAACTTCCATTTCTACCATTGTTGGTTTTCGCTGCCCTCGACTGGTAGTATTCGTGGCCATCCTTTTGGTCTGTTGGGGCTTGGGCTGTCCGTTTGGGAGGATGGGGCATGAATCGAGTGGTAGCCTCAAACGATAGTGACTTGCTCGCGTACTGGAGTGAATCGAATCCATGTGTCCTTCGTCCTTGATGTAGCATCTAACAAGGCGTCTCTTACCCACTTGGACGTCGCCCATAAGCAGAATCACGATCTCAAGGCTTTGCTTCCTAGAATCCAAGTCTCCATTATAAGCCATGAGATGAAGGTAGCCGGTCAGATGACGATATGAACGCTAATAGCTAGTAATGGGAGGGACCAAGTGGAGAAGGGACCTTGCTGGCCGATATCATGTATAAACATCCTTAGAAAAAAGTTATGATGCAAAATGATCACCATTACAACACCCCAGATCCAAAAACACTTGGGAACGAACCTAGATTGAAGAATAGTAATGAATGGACAGGGGCGTTATGATAGACTATAAACCTGTATTATATTCAGGTGTTATTTTAACCTCAAGGTGAATTCTTGAGAGCGATCCTGGGCTTAGATTTTGAGAGCTGGAATACCGGTCGAGGACAATGAATGGCCCTTGGACAAACTTTGCATGATCTAAACTCTGCGTGTCCACACTAGGGCCCAATCCACTGAGACGAGCAGCCTTTTTATGCGACGGGTCCTCTGGATATATTATACTCATTCCGTTGGATGCCTATAAAACCTAGGATGTTGTATTGCAATTGTAGGTGTTGAGGCTGGACCATGATTTTGAATAGCAGAGCGCTAGCAGATTCTGGCCCCATTCATTCTCATCTCATGGGGTGCGGTTGTGATCGGTTGTGCACCATATCTCCCAACCTCCCGTGCTGTTTATGGTAGCGAGCTGGATAGCAGGAATCCTTTTCTATACTGTTCGCCTCAAGACTTCGGATGCTCCTTTTTGACTGTCCAATCCCCGTCCCCTCACAGCCCTTGCAACTCCTGTCCCCCGACGCTCCTGTGGCCTCCATTTTCCCTCTCATCTTTGCTTAAAAATCTATTATTTCCTTATGTTTGATCATCACTTTACCTCACCTTGTCCTCCTTTCTCTGTCTTAGGCCCTCCCGCGTTCTTAGATACCACGCAACTTCCAAAAACCTCTCTCTCAATCTCAGAATCATCTTGAACCCAGTTCTGGGGTTCGTTCCCTCATTTTCTTTGATCCCGGGCGGGGCCTCTCGAAGACGAGCACATCAACGGCGAAACGCTTTTGCACCATCCAGCTCTCACTCACAACGACCTTGACAACCTTCCTCGCACCCATTTGCGACCAAACCCATATCGAAATAACAACAAAATATCTTCAAAATGCACGATATACGATTTGGAGACAGTTTGGTCTAGTTATTTGTGCCTACCCCATAAGCAGCAAAAACACTGGAACTGGTCAGCAAGCCGCCTAGAAAGAAACATAATTTCACATACAATGCGACATGGTCCGCTAAGGCCGCCTGGGAAGCTTCCAGGTCCTACAAATCCATCTCAGACCCCTCGGCGCTCTGCTCGATCTCCGCCGTGCCAGTCTCCACAGCCTCTCGGTTAATCGCATCACGCATTGTCAAAATCGTTCTGGACGGTGTCCCCAAGGTTTTGTAAGTAGTAAAATATTCGTCAGAATATTCTCTACCATGAAATCGAGTGGCGACACGTACCTTTCCGCGGCGGCCCAGTTAGGATCTTCACCTTCGATATCAGGTCAGCAGCAGCACCAGAATCGACAAGCGATACTCGAAAACTCGTAATTTATGGCAAGGATCCTTACCTTCGAACCAAAAGTCGAATTCTGCGAGGGAACCTGGTGCAGTGTGGGTACAGACGGCTTGTGAGGTGGTAGAATTCTGAGCTTGTGGTTGCATTGGTCCTGCTCCTTTTTTGGGAAGGGGATCAGAGTCAGCGAATTGGAATTGTCTCGGTTTATTTTGGAAATTTAACGCACCGGCTTGGTCCTGGACTCCTTGGGCAGAAGATTGGACGACTGCACCTCACGGGAATCAGTTCTACACCTCTCAAATACCCCCTCCATACGCTTACCTTGATCATTTGAGTTGGTCTGGGTATTCTGAGTGTGGCTTGCCATGGCAGTTTATGAAGACGTAGAGCTAGAAGTATCAAGACTTGAGACAAAGCAAACCCCCAAATACCACTCGATTCCGCTCTTCTAGTGCGAAAACGAGCGGTCTGGAGGGGTAAGTTGGTGAAATTTGGACTAATTTTCGTTTTTAGGGTGTCAAGATCTTGGTCACTCGATTCCTTCGATTTCTACTCGTAAACCACGCGATTCCGAACTTTCTACCTTTGCAATTGTACAACTGGGCGACGTCATTTCCGGTGCATCTCCGGTTTTCTCAATGTAAAGGCTCGTAGGTTCGATCGCAAAGGTGGAGGCGTCCGCACAGGCCTAAACGGGACGCGGTGAAAGGAGTTCGATAGGTACTTCTCAATCATTTCACCTAGTCACTGCTCTTGTAGTTATCTCTTCTCAATAAACTCTATTGTCTCCAAATATAGGCGTGGCGCATTAGCTCGAGCTATATATACAAGGGACGCGAGTTCTTCTCAACTCTAGTCTATCTAGATACAAAAGCAATATATTCGATGTCTTCTACCGACGAAGAGCGCCTCTTTAGGGGTTGTTTGAGGTACTATTTGACCGTATATCCCCCGTCCAAACCTGAGACACTCTTTTCTCATCCTGTCTTTCTGCCATCTAGTACAGTTGTGCAAGGAGATCATTAGACGTGTCAAAAGACGATATCTAATTCTGTAGAATCGAGTCCGAAGCCAGCCTTGATTTCTCCCCCGTAGTATGGCTTCGACTGTTCGCGAAAGAGCATGAGAGCAGAAGTGACCGGCCTTGTAAATCCCTCATATATCTCCAGTGGTCGGGTCTAGTCAACCACAGGGATATGACCTGTTGTTAGTCGACCTTCTGCGCGTAGGAACCCGTATAAGTGATTATTGAGGGGCCATACCAAATATACGGACGAGATCTTTGTATCTCTTACCCCAAATTCCTGGCTATGCAGACTGTCGTCTTCGCCAAAGCGGAGTCTGTGTGACAAATTGTATCTCATACTCGGCCTGTATACATTCTACGTGGTAACTCGTATTCTGGCTGACGCAATACCCATGTGACCAGCGTCTCCCCAAGAACTAACTCACTACCTTTGGGCTGGTAAAAGACCTAAGAGATAAATAAGATCATATTGTCATGGTTGAACTATTCAATGTTAATCATGGAGGAGATTCTCTGCTTATATGTATTTTTGTTCAATTATGGAAACCTCCTTGCCTCTTTTCGTTTGACGCCAACCAATCGCAGCGGACGAGGTACGACGAGATTTGGGAAAGTACAGCTAACCTTTCTTGGCCGAGTACCACTGGCTCCGGCTATCTATAAAGCC